GTTTTGAGGTTCTGGGATTATGCCCCACCATATATTATTGGAAAGTGTGCCGTATCCGCATTTTTGAATGAGGATTTCCTGCGTGCGATAAGACTTAAAATCAAGGAACTGAGGCCACCAGGACGACGTGAGCCACACCGCTGTGCGCTGAAAGAGCACTCAGACACGAGCTTCGCCAGAAAAGAGGTTCTACCGCCACCGGAACGCCTTTCCAATCCGGTTGCTATGGACCACTGGGTGCTGTATGAACCGAAAGTCCAAAACTTTCCGCTGGTGGACTTTTTTTCTTTGTGGACTCAAATCCAATGACGCTGGTTGGGCTGCGGATGACTACGGCGGGTGGGTACCGCACGACAACCAGAACTGTGCGGCGGTTCACTGAGTGCCTGGCGGCATATTTTAATGCTTGGGAGGAGTTATCTCGAGACATGTCGTGGGAGATGATTTATGTGCAGCACGCAGACAGCACGCCGATGAATGGCTGGCGGAGATGTGATGTTGTAAATTTTGATAATGTGAGCCGCGATGAAAACCGTGAGATTCGGCGTTCTGGAAGGAAGAGGTGCGCCAGTACCAAGTGTCAATATCATCCAGAGACTTTAGAAGTGACGAAGCACTCCGAAGTGTGGAAGAACCGTCGAAATAGGAAAACAAATTGGGGAAAGGGCAATTTTGATTTGTGGTAAAGAAATATTGTGGGAGTTATATAGTTTTGGATGCTTGTGTGTGCATGCGGTGAGGGTGCACCAGTCCCATGCGGCAGCACCGAACACAAATGCCAAAATGTCCAACGCTATCGAACATAACAGTGACCGAAGAAATTAGGGAGGGAAAGGGGTTGTTTGGTTTCTGGTGAAAAGTATTGGGTGATTTTCTTATAGTGTGTTAATTGTGTGTGTGCAAAAGAGGCATGATTGGAGAATTGCAGGGTATTTGGGAATCATTGTGGCTGGCGGTGTCACGGCGTTATTGCATTGTCCATTTTATTCTATTGTGTTCTGATTCCCATCACTGACAGAAGCATTTTTAAGGGATGGACGAAGCATAAGTTTTATTGAGGAACCGGTGTGCTCCGTGTGACCGCGTGGGGTGAGACGCCGCATCATGGATGGATGAGGATCCGCTTCTGCGTGTGGCTCTTTGGGTGATTGCTCACTTCGTGTGCGTTGTGTTTGCTGCGGGGCTGTGGCCGTATCCCGTATTGCCGGGAGAATCCAGGAGCCAGCAATGTTTCCCTCACGGGATTGTTGTTGGCGCAATGCAGACGGCATCTACCGGCACCCGGACCAGCTGCGTCGTGCCGGGACACAGTTGTGGCACCACGAGGTGTGAGGGCACGTGCTACCGCAGTGCGGGCATTACGATTTATTTGGGAAAGCACGAGGGAGGACAACAGAGGCACAACTGTGCGTGCTGTAGCTAGTCGGCACTGATGCTCTTTTACTTTGTCGGCACTGGAAACTGAGAGGGTGCGCCCTGCGCCTGTTGCCATGCGCTCTCATAGCCACGTTTTGAATGGAGCGTGTTGTTTTTTCTTTGAAGCGGGCTCCGTGCGCTAACGCGACAGGGGAACACGGTTGGCGGTGGCAGGAGTCCCTCCTGGAACGGCAATGGAGTGCAGGGTTCCCGGAGTGGGTCGCTCGCCGAGGCGGGGACAGCTCTCAGGGATTGTCTCGAGGCTGCTTCTCAATGCCGTTGTTGTTGTTGACGGCCAATCGCTGATGGGAGGGCGAGAGATGGTGTGCTGTCGTGTGATTTCTCTCAGTGGCACCCGTTGGAGCGATGCATGTATGTTTGCCTCGCAGATTTGGTGTTCTGGATTCTTATTTCACGCTATTCGGTGCCGCAGAAGTGGACGGGGAAATGATGCTGTCACGAGCTGCACGGGCGTGGTGGACACCATTGCGCGATCCCGTGGATGATCCGAGCAAATCCAAGTGCACCATGCGGTTTGGGTCTACAAGGAAGGAAGAAACAGTGGGCGGCTTAGGGGAGCTGCAATGCACGCGGCTGCAGAAGATGAAATGCATTATTGAGTTCACGTTGACTGCCACTTTGGGTGCTTTTTCTCGAGGCCGTGAATCTTTCCTAATTTACTTGGAGGTGCTTGATGACACCATTTGTGGAGGGTGTTTTCTCACCATACGAGGATGGCACACTGGAGACAAGGACGAAAGAGAGCGACGTCTCGCCAAAGGAGCGGCTGCTGGAACGTTGACGAGACTCGGGATTGTCTGCACTGCCAGCTGCTTGCCCTCGGCAGGATGTTCATTGAGGCGTTCATTGGCGCGGGAGTGAGGTGCACTCACGGACAGGCACCGCGGCAACAGTGTCGTTGGTTCTCCGTTGCACGAATGAGACGACGCATGCCAGGCGTGGCAGGTGACGTCCCCTGCGGGCCCTCCCACCGCCTCTTCTGTTTCACACCTCAGCATTTTCTGCGCTGTGAAAACCGCTCCCATTGGCCGTCTTCTGTGACACGAGAGCCGCCTGTACTCCTTTCCGCCGCATTGCAGAGTCGTGAGGAGGGCCTGAGGGTGCGTTGAGGTGCCGTGTGGCCTCTGCGAGCATTTCCTCTGTTTTTCTGAGGTGTTGAATTTTGTATTACCGAAACGCCACTTGAGTGCTTGCGTCTGAGGCTCGCATGGCTGAGAGGCAAACGCGTTTGTGGAGGTGCAGGAGGGCCACGCCATTGGGAGGAGGAAGAGTGAATGGGTGGATGGTGTCTGTGGCCCATATGTGGTGCCCGACTGGCGCTTCACGTTGTTTGGTGCTATTATCATTTGCATCCACAAAGAATGGCATTGGGTGCTGCTTTTCCCAACTCTCTTACTGTGTCTGTGTGTTGCGTGTTTGTGGGCATGACTCTTCTTTCGTGCTGTGCATTTGCCGCGTAAGCTGTCGATGGTCTGTGTGAAATATGTGATGATTTGCGGCATTTTGTTGGATTGTGCTTTGATCTCCGCCGCGGGGTGACAGCCGGATTGGAGGCGTTGCTTTTTCTTTACTGTGACCACGTGCGGTGTTTATGGGAGGCCTCTCGGGGAAGCGCCACCCAACCTTGTCGTGGAACATATGTATGATGCCACACTTTTTATTGACGCGGAATGAGTTGGCGTTTTGCATGCAATCTTCTGTGCATTCTTGCCCTGGTGCTCCTCATGCATGGCCCATGGAGACGACTGGCTGAGAATTGTCAATGGGCTTCTCGTTGAGCGGAGGGGAGAATACTGCCTTGTTTACTCATTGAGAGCCCGGGCGTCACGGATGATGCATGTGGCAGGCAGAACATCGTGCATGGCGGAAGGAGGAGACGAGGGGCTGGTTGTTTGATTGTTACTGACGAGTCCTGCCTCATTGCCTGGCGGGGGCTGTTGTTTGCTGGGGCAACCTGTTTTGTGTGTCCAGACACTGCTTGCGCCGAGTGGCGGGGCGCCGTGTTGGTGTGTGCGGCACCGTCATGCGGGGCGACTGCGTGGCGTTTACGGACTGTGTGGCTGTGGGTTGATGCATGTGGCGGGAGGCGTGTCTGAGGGGAATCCGCGAAAAAAGGAGTGACATGCGTTTGGCGGTGCTGCTGTTCGAAGTGCAAGGGAAGAATGAAGACAAGTGATTTCTTACGCGTCGGTGAGTGTGCCACGGCCACCAATGTGTTTTCAGTGAGAGGGACAGGAGTGAGTGAGACGGAGACTGTGCACATCGACTGCGGCGTGTGGTGCCACAGGATGTGGTTGCCATTGTGAAGGATGAGACGGCCGTCATGCGTGCAGCAGAGCGTCATCTGCATCTTTGTGCCCACAGAGCTTGCTGGTCCTGCGAGGAGGTACAGGCAACCTCTCATCATTGGGCGCTGAGGCTCTTTTCTTTTTTCTTGAGTGGGAGAAACAAGTCTTCTTGCACGTGACGTGCTGTTCTGCATCGATACTCCCCCACGGGGCATCAC